AGTCCATGGCAATGGGAGGAGGAACAAGTCCAGGTGCCACGGAGCCCTTTAAATCCGACAGTGACATGGGCAGGAACTCTCTAAGATTTGTTATCACGGGTGTAACTTCTTTGGTGGTCTTGATGTTATTCCTGACTTAGCCTGGTGTGAAGCCTAGGAGGAAAACTTGGACTTGGAAATGTCAGAAGCATTTTGAAAAGCAGTCGTTTTGGAGTGCAGATTTGCTCCAGGATTGTCCCAGCAGATGTGATTGGTTCTCAGAAAGAATGTGCTCTCGTTCAGGGGCAAGTAGAGCACTGCGCAGCAAAATGATTGCTGCTGACTCTGCTGGATTTGTGACTCTGTTTTTTTCTAGGTTTGTTTTTCATTTTGCAGAGGACCTTGTCATTTTCATGGAGTTTAGCTTTTACATTTTGATTTCAAAATATACTACGTAGAAGTCAGAGCCAATGCCTCTAATGTAGCATTGCGCTGCTTGACAGTAATCGCTAGGAGTTTCCTGCAGATAAAATTTATATTTATTACATAGAGTCCTTTTTTACCATCATCTGTGCAGTGTGCTGAAAGTGGTTGGAAAGATAAGGGTATTATTTTTGCTAATAATAATAATTACATTAGCGTAGTTCATAAGCAGCTGGAGGGCTAAATGGAAAAGTCAGTCTTGTGTGGTTGAGATCTTCTTGCTTCTCCAGGGTTTTAGTCACCCGAATCTAATATCCAGGTCCTTGATACAAGAGGCTTTGGGGGAAGGGCTTGGAAGGACAGGTGGATTGTCTGCTCCACAAAAGCTTTTCTTCATTTTTAGTGCGTAAAAGGCAGTGTTGTCCTTTCAAATACCAGATAATCATTTTCGTGTGTTTCTCACTGAGCCTTCTGTGCCATCATTTTTAATCTCATTTGCTTGCAAACCCCATAAACCCTGACTTGGACCCTGCTCTGCAGCTTTGGACCTTGCTGAGCTTCTGAACTGGCCCTTTTGTTGGTGTGAATGTGCTAATGCTCTTCTTTAACCTGTAGCCATTTTAATTTACGAAATTAAATAAACCTTTTGATTCTTATGTTTTCTATATTTATGACCTAATTTTTTTTATCTATTTTTCTCTCTTTCTCTCTTTCTTTCTTTTTCTTCCTCCTCCTTTCTTCCCTCCCCTCTCCCTTCTTCCCCTTACTCCTTTCCTATGTCTGTCGTCATACATGTCACCTTGGATCTCACGGGGAAACATCCACGCTTGCCACATGCACCAAATTTGTTTTTAAACAACCATATTTTCCCCTCCTGGGAACCATTGTCTGGCACCTGCAGCGACCTTGGGAAGTCCATCAACGTCGTCCTCCTTTGTTTCATTGCTTCTTTCTGCAGTGACTCTGCTTTTACTCTGTTAGAAACTTAAAATAAAAGCAATATTTGCTTGAAAAGGCCTGGGTGCCACCCAGGTGTGAGAGCAGATAAATTTGCTTCAGAGAATCGTGACAGTTCAGGGGGAAAACAAAACAAACAAACAAACAAAAAACCCCACAAAGAAAAACCGAAACACAAAACATTGAGGGAAAAAGTTAAATCTGAAAGTCAGTATTTTGTAACAAGGAAAAAAGGATTAAGCCAGTTTTTTCTCTTTATCATTTTTTTTGTTACTTCTGATGAAGTTGCCCTTTGTAATGGATGTAAAGAAAGATTTTTATTGTCGTTTGCTTGCTGGTTTTCATCAAAGGAAGGTACAATACCGAAAGCCTCTTAAGATACGGCTTTTTACTGCTTTCTCTGCACATGTGATCACCACTGTATTGTGCAAAAGGTTTCTAAAGCCTCATCCACAGACTAGAAAAAGAGAGAGAAGATTTGTCAGAGATGATCCTACTGGTTGCCCAAATATCTCCATGGGCTTCTGCATGTGGCTTCAGATTTGTGGCTGTTAGTTCTTCCTGAATTGGTGGTCTGAATACAAACACCTTGTGGGAATGACAGCGATGAGATTTCTTTCTTCTTCACGTGGTTGAATGCTCAAGACTTCCTCACTGGCTGTTTATGTGCAGTCAGGTGTCCCATGGCCCGTAGTGGCTCTGGGACATAACACAGCCCGTGAGCATACGAATTTGTAATGGATGCTTGTCCAATATTTACTAGTGTTCCGCTACTCTACTGACCTCATACAGAGATCCTTTTTCTTGCAATTTTAACAGAAAAGGTTAGCTTGGGTCAAGTTAGCTGGTCAGCTAAATTATTATTACTGATCCTTAAAAATATATTTGTGCGTAACTGTGAGTGTGACGCTACCAGACCAGATTAATGATGTACATCGGTGCGATATAATCCATCTTTGTTACCGAGTTCTGTGTATTGTATTTCTTTGAACAATTTTCAGTTAACTTCTTTTTCTTTTCTGTTGTTCTTACTCAAAAAAAAATCTGAAATAACCCATGGACTGTCCCCCTCATGAATTGTCTTTGTGATGGGAAATCCATATGGCTCCGATGCGCTTCTAAATATGGGGGTGTCTCTCCCTCTAGGTCTGTCTTTCTCTGTGAGTTGGCCTGAGGTTGCCAAGGACAACAACTTTGTCAACAATTTAGACCTATCTATATGAGTGTCTCAAATACTATTGGTTGTCTGGAATGGGATTAATCTTTCTAACAAAATTCTAATAGGGAGAAACAAACAAAAAAAACCCCAAACAAACACCTCCCCCAAAAAAAACCCACAAAAAGAACAGTCATCAGTCTTGTCTAACTCTGCATTAAAGATCTGTTAGATCTTTTGAGTTTACACCTTAGTGAAGTGCAGCAAGAATAATGATAATACTAAAATCTGCTATCGCTGAATTTATTAAGTTCATCTGTAGATCTGATCCCACTCACACTGTGGATTTTCCTTTATCCGCAGACAGAGGTTACTAGCTGAGGCCGCAGTGTATCTCATCCAACTCATAGGTTATTAAAATTATCTTGCCTAAACTATAACTTTACGTAGTGTTGTGTGGAGAGAGAACAGCATCTCTGGAGGCTGTTCTTCTGTTTAAGGAGAGGTGCCTTAATACAGAGGGGCTGCTTTACGCTCTGAGGGACCTCCTCTGCGGTGACTGGACAAAGCCCAGACAGGTAGATGAGGGATCGTTTACATGGCTGAAGTTACTTGAAAAGAATTCCATGCTCAACAGCAGACAGGAATCAAGGCAACATGGAATATAAACAAAAAGAGCTTCTGTCCCTGTGTTCATAAAAATAAGGAGCATAACTGATTTTTTTACTGCCAGTTTATGTGGATTTGTAATGCGTCAGACACTGCATATACATTGGATTCTTGAGGTTTGACAGTCAGCGCTGGACAAGGTTCCACGCCTTATTCTTGGGCTAAATTAAGAAAATAATAATAATAAAAAAAAACCAACCACAGTTTGCAGAAGAACCAGCTCTCTTCTCTGTGCTCAGAGAAGGGTTTCAGATCTGGAACCAGGAGGAGTTCAGATACTCAGATTTTCAGTGCGTGCTTGCACGCAACCTTGCAGGCACGTATTCCAGGTGAACAGGTCGTACAAGGAAGGCTGGAAGCTCAGCCCTTAGGCAAGACGTTTGTGTGTGTGTGTGTGTGATGAACTGCAGAGCCTTCCAGGATCTCTTGTAGCATGTGGGATTATCGCAGCTGTGCCCCCAGTTAGTTGTTAAGTCTCTACGTATCTTTAAAGCTGTTTGTCACAGCACTACTTTGGCTGCCTTCGTTTTACAGGAAGGCCTTGTCGGATAACCTGTCGCTTCACCAGCATCAGTTGCTCACACCTCCTAGTTTCTGCTAGATAAAAAGAAGTTTTTGAAGCCCTTCTGAGTCTTGAAGCTCAGTGGAACAAGCAGCCGGTGGCGCTGAGGTGTGAGCACTGCAGCAGTGTAGGAGGGCAGCTGTGGATCAGCTGTTCAGATTTACAGTTTGGGTTACTCCTGAAAAGAGGATCTTTATGTGACTCGCTCTTTGCTTACAGTTTTTTTTTTCATTTTTTATATGCTCATATTCCCCTTTTGTCCTTGGAAAGGGAGTCAGTCACAGGAAAATAGCACAGCTTGAAACCAGGAGCAGACCACCGAAGCCACACAGAGTTGGTGACAATAAAAAAGGAGCTCAACTGCAGCTTTGGGAAATATCCATTGTCCTCTTGTCTTGCAAGGAATGCTCCACATACTGCTGTGTTTCTGCTATCTAGTAGCCAAGTTGAAAGCAAGCATGAATTGTCGAGCCTCAATCTGTGTGGAAACAGAAGCTGTTGTCACTTGGAAGAGAGAGTTGCTTGCATGTTGCTTCTCTCCACTGTAAATTCTGCAGAGTGCCTGAGAGAATGAAGTCTGTAAAATGCGGCACCCCTTGTTTGAAGGATACTTTTAAGTGTTTGCAAATTAAAGCTCTTAGCATCCACTGAGAACAAATAGCTTTTCTCCTGGGTTTCCCTTTTTTTTTTTCCTTCTGATGCATGAAATGATTTTTTTATTTGTTTTGATGTTCTCTCTTCTGCCAAATATTGTAGGACCTTTCAAATGCTTGAAATCATATTTGCTTCTCTCCATCCATTTTTTGTCTATGTCTGTGCCTGAACATGCTCTGCATGCTCTAGTTGAGACCCCACTAGGAGGTCACATCTGAGTGATTCTTCTCTCTCTAACAGGGCAGGTGTCTGTATGGAGTTGCAGAAAGGAAAATTGATGGGTAATTTTATTGTACACTGTAAAATAAGGGTGACTAGAAAAGTCAGTCTTGTAGGAAGCTCATTTTCCATTGAAAAAATAATTAGTAATGAATTAATAAATTTTTCACTTCTTTAGCATTAAGGACTCGAGATTTTTTTTATTTATTTATTTTTAACACTTTGTGTTTTCTATTTTAACCCATGGAACTATGATTCCTCTTAATCCTGAGAACAGCAAAAGGGAATTAATGGGAAACTCATCAGGTTGAGTGTGTTCTGGATCAGGTCAGAAGTGTCGACCATCTACTGAAACGGTAGCACTCGCTGGTGATACACACGTGCTCTCGTACACACAGCGTTAGCAGCTGCTCCTCAGCAGCCTGTTTATACACTTTGTTCGTACGCTGGATTGTTCTAGGTCCCAGCAAACTCCCTAGGGATAGTAAGTGTCTAAATATTAGTTTGATTAAAAACAAGCTATAGGATGCAGTGAGTAGTTCTTAATGTATTTGTAGATCGATGTCATCGAATGTGCCAGTCAGTGACACCGAGCAACATACTAGATGCTTCCTGCATTTTACAGCAATAGCAAAATTCCTTTACAAAATATATACAGAAAAAAATTTGCATCACCAACAGCCTTCAAGTTCGTGGGGTCTTTAAGGATCCTTATATTATTATTCCTTATTGCTAATGTCTGAAAGATCTGGAAATCAGTTCATGTCATGGTATGTCCTAATAGGTGCTGAACTGTATGAACCAGCAGCCAAATGCTCTGCTTGCAGAGCAGCAGCTTGGGAAGAATTATTTTAGATAAAGCAGGGGGACAAAAAGTAGTTTGTGTTCAGGATATCATAGTCAGAGACTGGGAAGCTGCAGCTGGCAATGTTCAGGGCTGTGCCTGTTGGTTTTGTGGTGATGAATGGCTCTGCCAGGATCAACTGATGTGTTTATCCGTGCCCTGTTTCTAAGAAAGTCCTCAGCGTTTTACAGACAGGTAGAAAGTTAAAGGCACTTCCCCGAAGTTAGTGCTCTATGGACAACCCCATGTGTTTTCTAGGCCTCCATCACCACCTCTCACCTGCTGTCCTTTTGTCTACTGGAAAAGGCAAGGTATTTTTTTCTATTCTATAGCTGGGGAAATGTAGTGGAGATTGGGTGTGGTGGAGTGGGCAGCTGCTGTGACCAGGACGGTGTCAAGAGAGTGACAGCCTGCTTATCTTTACCATGTGCTTCCTCAGAAGGCTGCTGAGATTGTTGTCTGTACCTAAATCAGAACACTCCTAGAGCGTTCACTGGTGACCTCAGCTATCTCTGGGTAAGATGTCAAAAGCTTACCACTTTCCAGTTCTGGATAGCTGGGCCTTGGCTGAGCAAAGGAAGCGTTTTAACACCTCCTTTTGTTTCCAGTACGTAAGGGACTAATCAGTGCTGAGGCCCCACAGGTGTCACTTGGGTATTCCGTGTCCCACCAAAGCCAGTCACGCTGCGGAGTGTAGGCTTCAGTTGCACTTGTCCTTGTGCCAGGCTGGCAGCGCCCTAGTGGCTCTGGACCCTAGATAGGGCCTTCGTCTTGAGGAAGTGGTGGAGGGAAATGGGAGCCTTTCAGAATCCCAGCTGGGTATACGCTGCAACAGGAGAGGTTTCTGTAGTCTGCTTTCTAGGCCTTTGCCCAGTAGAGATGGGGGAAACCTCATTAGGTGCAAGTGATTCTGTCTCTTGAGGTAGATTGTTCTGCATGTCTGTAGGATGAAGTACTAGTTATGACACGAGGCTGCTAGAGAAAGGGTGTACTTTTTAAGTTTCTCCTGCTTGCCACCTAAGCATAGCCAAACTGGAGCCGTAACTAGCCACAACTCCCCTTCTAAATACAATGCCTTCTTTTCTTCTCTTTTTGGTCTCTAAAGCCAGCACTAGCCCTACATCAGGCCTTGGGACTGCTGCCATCATAGGCATTCTCATTGTTATCTTTGTGCTGCTGCTGGTGGCTGTGGATGTCACCTGCTACTTCCTGAACAAGTGTGGCCTGCTGATGTGCATTGCTGTCAACTTGTGCGGCAAATCCGGCCCAGGAGCCAAGGGCAAGGACATGGAGGAGGGCAAAGCCGCCTTCTCGTGAGTACTGCCATCGCTTACATTGCTCCTTCTGTTGATCAGTGTGTCCCCTCAGCAACTCTGAAAGAGAAACTGGTTTAGGGAGTTCCGAGTCCCTAAACTCAGACGGGAGAGGACTGAAAAGATCTGGGGCCACGCTGGTTCTGCTTTGTATTCCCAGGAAGGGATTTCTTTAGCCATTTCTCTGGTTTTGTCCTATTCCTGCTCGGAGCCATCAAGTGGCTGGCCCAAATGCTGGGCACCATGATGGTCTTCTGTGCTGGAAGGAGAAGGGACAAAAAGAAGTAATCAGCCACTTAAGCCACACTTTTTCTGTCGCTCACTGTCACTGTTTGCAGCATGTCTTTGCAGGAGGATACCTAGTGTGAATGGGAACTAATCTCCATGCGATTCCTTCATTACAGGAAAGATGAGTCCAAGGAGCCTATTGTGGAGGTGCGGACCGAAGAGGAACGAACCCCCAACCATGATGGGGGAAAACACACAGAGCCCAACGAGACCACCCCGCTGACGGAGCCAGAGTATGTTGGCATTAGTCAATCTTAGCACAGGGGCAATGCTTCGCCCTCAGTTGCCTTAATCCATGATCTCTCATGCCTGTGACATAGGGCAGGGAAGATGGGAAGAAAGGCAAAATCTCCACATTCCACTTCTGACATACCAGTGAGGAGATGCCTCCGCTTTGCCTCAAGGTTCAGCTGTTTCCAGCACTGGAAGGGAACGGGGAGTAAAGCAGTGTTTCTTGAAAGACCTGTCTCTGCCAGTCCTGTCCAGTGTGTAGACCAGGCACAGGTCTGCGTTCACTGCGAAGGCTCCAGAGCAAAAGCAGCCCCAGCTAGCACTGATTCCTGCTTTAGCTGTGCCCTAGCAATGCTGGATGAGTGCTTGAACACCCCGTGGTGAGTCCACTCTACCGATGGCAGCCAAGTAGCTGTGCTCTGGATGCTGAGGGAGGCATGGTGACTACGAGCTTTGTTTATATCTGAGAACTTGTACAGGGCCCGAGTCTGTGAATCCATGGTAGCTGGGATTGGCAGTGTTTAAGCATTGCTGGCTGTGTGCATTAAGCTCTTTCCTAGATCGTTGCAGTTCTGGTGTCCTCTTGAGTATTTCTCCATAGCTTCTGGAGTGGTCATAATGGGTGGAATTCGCTTCAGGAAGCTGCTGAAATGCTTGCTAATAGTTGGGTCAGGTTTGCGGTTGATGGCATGAGTCGGGTTCCCTCCTGTCAGCAGACTCATCACAGTGGTGAGGCGGTCAGGCTCTTCCCCCTGCATACTGCTCACCTCCTGTGATTAGGTTCGCAGTGGGGCCACTGGGTGAAATGGCTCTGCTGGAAGTCTCCGTGAGGTGAGAGGAGAAAGGAGGCTGTGTCTGCAAGCAGCACTGACATGCAGATGTGCAGCAGTGAGGAGCAGCTGGGACTTACGTTGTACTGAATTCTGTGTCTAGTCTTGCCAGAGTTTTAACTCGGTTATTCTCCTCTGTGAAGGTTTTTTCACTGTTGAGAAGCTTGAGGTGGTGTTCTCAGGCACACCGGCTTCTCATGGAATAAGCCATTTGGATTTCCACCCTCACATCTGTGTACTTGTTCAGGCAGCCAGTGCTACATCATGGCTGCTAAAGTGTAGTTCTGCTGTCAGACATTGTCCTAAAGCAAACCTCATTCCTGGGATCTGGTCAAAAGGGCAGAAAACATCACCACAAAGCTGCATATATGACTGTGTATGGAGATAGATATATGCATTACATGTGTGTGCGAGAAAAGGAATTGTATTCTCTGTGGCTTGACAAAGGTCTTAGACTTGCGGGCAAAAGGACAGGGCTGAGATGAGGAACTGGATTCGGGGATCACATATGGGACGCTGTTGCACGGTGACAGATGGCACATGGCTGCAGGCGCAGGGAATTGGTAGAAAGCTTCCTTGCACGGTTAGGTGGAAGAGGCCAAGACGAAAGTTAGGCTAAAAGAGGAAGGTCTCTCCAAGTTGACAGGGTTAGGCTTGGCTAAGACAGGAGCCAAAAATCTCTGTGAACAAGAAGGTCACACCCTCTTTGCTCTTTTTCCCTTCCTAGTTACTTTTCAGTCATTCCAGCCATCCCTTGCTACTCAGAGCACTTTTGACTTCTGAAAGGTTTCTGAACCACTGAGTACCTCTCCATGTTCTGTGTGTGTTGTAACCACATGCCATGCTGCTGCTGCACCACCCGCTTGCCTTCTCACTCTTACGTTCTGCTCCCCTTTCCCCTCCTGTCATTTACGGGCTTCATTGTCTCTATTTCTCTTCTACTCCTGTCCTCTTCACAGGCACCCTGCTGATACTGCAGCTACTGTTGAGGACGTGCTGCCTTCTGTAACTACGGGCACCACTAACTCTGACACTATCACTGAAACCTTTGCCACTGCTCAGAACAGCCCCACCAGCGAGACCACTACGCTGACCTCCAGCGCTGCCCTGCCAGCCACGGCCGTTCCTGACTCAAACTCCATGTCGCCCGGCCAGGCTACTCCAGCCAAAGCGGCAGCCGCCTCAGTCTCTTCACCACCCTCCTCCCCCCCTAAAGTGGCCCCCCTCGTTGATCTCAGCGATACCCCAAGCTCTACTCCAGTTACTAATAATTTGTCTTCAAGTGTCCTGTCCAACCAAGGTGCAGTGCTCAGCCCCAGCACTATTGCTAACGTGGCCGAGACCTCCAAAGTGACAGCTGGCAACAAGCCAGCTGCCCCAAGCCCCGCAAACCTCACTAGCCCTCCAGCTCCTTCAGAGCCCAAGCAGGAGATCTCAAGCACCAAGAGCCCTGAAAAGGAAGCTGTGCAGACCAGTGCGGTGAAGAGCCCAACAGAGACAGCCAAGAACCCAAGCAATCTGAAGAGCGAGGCTGCTTCAGGCAGCACCCCAAACCCCTCCCAGAATGAGGACTTTAAAATGGACGAAGGGACCTTCAAGACACCAGACATTGATCTTGCAAAGGATGTTTTTGCAGCTCTTGGCACTGCCACTCCTGCCAGTGTGACTAGCGGGCAAGCTCGTGAGCTTGCTTCTTCCACTGCAGACAGCTCTGTACCTGCTGCACCTGCAAAGACCGAGTATGGCTGCCTTTAATCTTCCGTGGGTTGTGTGCTGTGTCTCTTGTGCGCTGGTGCTTGTGCTGTGTTCTTGTGGGGTGTTCTCCTAACTAATCTGATTGTTTCCTTAGCAAACTAACTCACCTGTGAACCAGCTACACAGGGCTTGGCTTTAAAGGTCAGAAAACAGGAATAGGCTGTGCCAGGGAAGCAGAGAAAAAGACAAACCAAGGAATTTATAAATGCGTTCTTCACTATGACTTCTACGCAGCTTTATCTGTCGTAGCTTATTTCTTTACAAAAGAGATTAGAAACAGTTTGGTGCAAAGGAAGTGCTGTCCTCAGAGGTGCTGAGTTCCTCCAGTTCAGTGAGCACAGCCACCCAAATTCACTTTGCTAACCTATCAGTGGAGCCCTTCAGAACTTATTTCAGTATAAGGTTGGGCAGAAGCTAGTGCCATGTGAACCTGTAAAAGCAGGGTACCTCTGGGTACGTCCCTAAACTGGCAGAAATCTAAGGCATTGTGATCCTCTGTGAGAGATGGGGAGCAGCCACAGCACAGCTGGATCCGGACAACTTGGCAGTGTGTTGTCACGGTGTACGAGAAATGAGTCTCCATCTGCTGTCCTGGGGCTCCTCCTTTCCCAGCTGATCTCTTCAAAGAGTATCAGTGTGCCTCTCGACAGGACAGCCCTAGGAGTCCTCTGAAGCCCTGTGCCATCTGGACAGGATCCACTTTCCTCAGCTGAGATGAGGCTGCGCCTTGTGTTTGGCAGTTGACGCCGTAACTGGAGAGCAAAAAGAGCACAAAGTCCTCTCCTGGGTAACTGGGAGGAGGGTCCCTATAGCTGTTGTGCAGATGCTGGACAGGAGCATTCTGGCTGCATTGGTTTGGATGGCAGTTGCTGACAGAGCCATGAGCACAGAAGTGTGGAAAGTGCTGTTTAAAAATGGATAAGCCACCCTTGAGGGGACAAGTAGCTACAGTACCTCCTGGCTTCCTGTTTGGACACCACGTGTTGATAGAGGCAGGATGAAATACAAGTTTCTTGTCCTTCTTGCCTGAGCAGGGTCTGTGTCTTACCACAGGGAGGAGTCCTGAACAGGCAGCTCACGTTTGTTGTGGGAGCTGCTCTCCAAACCAACAGACCTGAGTTCGTGCTGCATCTTTCGCTTTTGCAAAGGGAAGTGTATTGAGGCCGGTAGGCTGTGCACTGACAGCTGGATTGCTGTCAGGAGCCTGATGAGCTGTTCCAGAGTGAGGCTTTACAGCTCACACCGATACAAGTAGGCTCTGCTAGCAGTGACAGTGAAGACATACCCTGAGTCAGGTCTTTGGTTGGAACTTCTTCCAGCCTTACATTTCCAGCAAAAACTGCCTCATTCTGGCAGCTTTGTATTTAATCCAAAATAAACCGTTGGCCTTGATCATCAGCTTTGCCGCTGTGATTGCAGGGTACACTGGCACTCGCAGGAGAGCAGTCAGCGAGGCACTGTAGGGCCAAGAACAGGCTCTTTTCCAGATGTGAGTGAAAATTCAGGCAGTTTTACTGTATTGTGTAGGTGCCCTTGCATCTTGGGGCTCTGGTGTCCCAACCTCCCTGCTGTAAGTCAGGAGACTTTCCTGCCATATGGCTGTTCCGCAGCACTGCCTTGGGCCTCGAACGGCTCCGAGGAGCGTCTGACGCTTCCACGAAGCCTGGGTGGCACAGCAGGAGGGAACCAGGTGGCCTCAACAGGTGCAGCTGAGCCACTCCTGACCAGAGAAATCCACGTGCACTTCAGTTCGCTGCACTGAAAGCCACTGCCCTGTCCTGCAGGGCGCTGCAGAGATGCAGGCAGGCGAGAGAAGTGTGATCTGGTACTGACCAGCAGGTCAGCACCTACCAAGGAGGCAGGAAGTGGTTTGCCCAGAGCAAGCAACCGTTTCAGCTGAATCAGTGCAACTTGGTCCCTGCCGTGTAAAGCAGTTCTTGGTACGGAGGAAGGCAGAGCTCTGTTCTTTCTGCCAGCCGCCTTCTTCTACCTGGGCTGCTCATCCCCTTCCCTTGGCACAAATCAGTATTGCAGCCATTGGCTTAGATTTGTCTCGCCAGCTCGTCAGTGTGACTGGAGGTGGCGGTCACCTCAGACTAACTTTGTGGCTAGGGGGCTGGAATGGGCACTTGTTCAGGGAGGCCACCAGGAATGCTTTGTGTGGCACTTCTCATGCCTATGAAGAGAGCATTGAACAAACAGGTTTCTCTGATTCGTCAGGCTGATGAACCTGAGCTTTCGCCTGTGATGTTGACCTCCCTTGCACTTGTGAAAATGTGGTTGACAAAATTCACTTCTGTGTTTCCCTTCCTGCGACACGCTGGGAAATTCCGGGACTGATTTCCTGTAGGGAGAAGATGGTCTGCTAAAAGGGCAGGTTTTTTTCGTAGGACATTTGGGTGACATAAATGAGCGATGGTAAAATCAAATTCCTTTGCAACTGTGTGAATTTCCCCTTTTGGCCCTTTTTGCACATCTCAACACGCTTTGTGCCTCTGCTGCAGCCTGAGACTTCGTCCTACTTAGTGTCTTACCTCAGGGCGAGAGGCAGATCAAAAAAGAGTTCCTAGAGCTCAATGCAGCTGGGGTGGGGGGTGAGTTTGATTTTACTTACTTCTGCATCTGGAAATGCTCCTTTTGCTCTCGCAAGGCAATATGTTTGCTTGTTTCCACAAACACGTTATTTCCTTACCGCTAGTTGTGCAGGAGACAGGCTGTATTTTCTGCCTCTAAACTGTGCCCTTCTGATGATTCTTCTTCAGGAAAATACCGGTAGAAGACAAATCTGAAGTGCAAGCAACGGAAACTAAGACACCTCCAGCAGAAGTCAAGACGGTCCCCAATGAAGCCACACAAACAAATGAAAACGAGAGCAAAGCATGATCAGCGGTGGACGAAAGCAAATGACAGAACAGCTTCACTCAAGCATTTAAAACACAAAACACATCTCATTCCTCTAGTGTCTGTTGCCTTTTTTTAAAAAAACAAACAAAACGGAAAATGCATAAATGGGGGGAGGGGGGGATCTCTCTTTTTCTGCTCTTTTTTTTTTTTTTTTTTTTAAGATTTCTAGAAAGGTTCTATTTGTTGTGCACTTGCTTTTAAAAAGTAATACGTTTTTAAAACAGGGTTAAACCCGTAACCAAATCAGGGCTTAGCTGACCCTGCGTATATTCCAATAAGCAAAATTGCAAATACCATTGCAACATGGTTGGGAAGCTCAAAATTAACTAGTCCTAGGAAGGGAAAAAAAAAAAAAGGAAAAAAAAAAAAAAAGATGACCCTGTTCTTTCGTTTTGTTAGTATAGCAGATATAGCCACTGTACTACTTGGTGCAGCTGGTACTTAATGAACAAAGTCCACAATTTATTTTTATACTTTTCAGTCGAGTTTTGAAATATGTAAAGCCTCATAAATAAGTTATAATTTCTGTTCACCTTGTATTTGTTCAGTATGCAAAGTGTCTCGAGCTCTTTGTGACTGAATTCTGTTCTCCACGTTAGACGTTTATTTGGGTTTTATTAATTTCTTTAGGAAGAATGCCAAAATTGCAGCTTGGGGGATGTATTTCAATTTGCAGTATTCAGACTCCACATTTCTTTCAATTTTCTGTTAATTTTTGCCAACTTTTGTTCTTTCCAGTGTTTACAATTGACAGATTTTTTTTTAACTTTTGTTTTGTTTAAATATATGTGTAAAATAGCTGCCTTTTTTTAAAAAAAAAAGTAAATACAGTCTATAGATGCTAGGTTAGTGGCATGCTTGCTTTGCAAAGGGAGACATTTTAAAACATGGATGTTTACAGTAGTTGTTTCCCCTTTATCTTTTCTTAATTATTGTTGTTATTATTATTATTATTATGATTATTATTATTATTATTTCTTACTGGAGTAAGAAGAAAAGTAATGCTGGGGTTTGGCTTGGGTTGTTTTGGGCGCGTGGGGGCTGTTCACACCACCTGTCACCAGTCAGGGTCTGTAGCCAGCGATCCACACAGACACACGCTTCGCTTGCACAGGGAGAGTTGCTGGTGCAAGTCCTTCTGCACTTAAATTTAGCAAGTTTACGTCCCTTGCTGGACCTGGGCCTGACTGCATAAGAGAAATATCACCTCTGCTTTTTTAGGACATTCTCCCCTTTCCTTCGTGGAACCCTCCCCGAGCTTTGAGAAGCAGAAGGGAGATGGTACAGCTTGGGCTGGTCTGGTTTGACTAATCGATTCCTCCTTGGTGTGTGATGAACACCATTTCCTTTGACCCCAGAAACCTGACTTACAGGCAGACTTTTTGCACAAGGGTACTTGGCAGCATGCAGGAGCCCCCTGCAAAGCCAGCGCTGTCAGCAGTCGGACTCGGGGATCGTTGGAGGTCCCTTCTGTCACCTCGTGTGTGTTGAGTCATCCGTCTGTGCTCTGCAGGATCAAACCCAGGAAACCGAGAGCATGTTCTTGGAAATCAATGCCAAGACTCCCCGTGATTTCACTTGTCTTGGTGTCGTGTCTTTACCAGTTGTCAGAGGGGGCTGATCTAAGACACCTGTTGTCGTGATGGAAGTGGGAGCTTATCGATGGCATTTTTCATTGGGAGTCATGGAGTAACACTGAGATTTTGGGGTGAAAAGAAATGCAGAGTGAGCAGAAGAAAGACAGAGGTATATAGAGGAAGACCAGCCCATTGTACAGAGGTGTTCCTTCTGTTGGGGCTTCGGGGTTTTTTCTCCTTTTTTTTTTCCTTTTCTTTTCTTTTTTTATTCTACTTTAGATCTGCAAGCTTGTGCACTGTGGGTGCGTGACTATTTTAGTGTGAAACGTGTTTTTTGTCATAGTAAAATAATAAAAGCTTCAACATAGTTTGGATGTGGAAGGTGTAGCGATAGTTCAGATTTGAAAAAAAAATATTCAGGAAAAAAAAAAAGAGAACAACTGTTTGAAGGAACAGCTGGCTGTGGCATCTGTTCCATTGCGCTAAGGTGATGAACAGAAGGATGACGAGGTGTGTAGACTGCAGGCTGGCTCAGGTAAATTGAGCCCCTTTCATCAGTGTATTTCTTCTAAGAATGCAGTCGTCTACACTAGCATCACACAATTTCAAACTGTGAAAGATAACGGTCCTGTCATTTGCAAAATGAGGGGGTTTTTGCATTTGTTTCCTTAGCTCCTGGGATGCAGAATGGAGGATGACTGGATATACAGGCATAGAGGCTCACGCAGTGCCCCTCCTGAGCAGGATTTGGGGCAGGCCAGGTCCTTACTTCAAGGCCTTGTGTCAAATTTGGCCCTCGCATGACCCGGGAACAGCAGTGTCGGTATAACGAGGGGGAAGTTTGGCCCGTGGTCCCTAGGATTTGTTGTTTTTCTAAAATCGATCTGTGAAGCCCAGCACGTGGTCTGTGTAGTTGGGGAGAGTCCTCGGGGCAGCAGAGTAGGCAGGGAGTACCTCCAGTCCTGGGGACGACCGCAGCACTTTGTTCCTCATTTCTGCAAAGTCTTCGACTGCTTTTGTCATCTCTACATTACACCTCCTAAGTTAGAACCCACCGAGCGCTGGGTGACTGTAGGAAACAAATGCTGCACGACTCTAATGACCAGAACCACGTCCAGTGACACTGGTCAGCACGTCTTGGGTGAACACTGTGGTGACTGTCACTCTCGTAAATGGTAACCAGCTCCGAGCCCGACGCAGCGCCCAGCTGCAGCATTCGGAAGCGCTCTGCCCATGCAGTGGCTTTGTGTCGAGATCGAGGGCGTGAGCAGCGCTCTGAGGCAGAAGTGAACCCTGGGAGTGTCCATCCAACTCCTTTTAATGCCCTCCTGACACCTCCCAATACTTGTAGGTTAATTCTGGAGAGGGGCCTTACACTCGCCCTTAATGGAGAATAATTTGTTTTAATTTAGAAATACCCCATTTCAAGATAGCTTAGGCTTCACTGCATTTATTTAAACCTTTGAAGAGGGACCAACCTGATGCCGTTTATGCTGTATATGTTTATATATGTATCCATGCCATACATATATATCTATATAGCAATGCAGACTGATCAGCTTCTAGTTGTGGAGTGACTACATTTCATGCTGCACCGTACGCAAAGATGATAATCGTGCATCCAGTTGTTCAGCTTTTAGAGTGGAGTTTTATTTTCACACTTTTCTATGGAGCCTTCAAACCCCAGTTTTTCACACTAGGCTGTTTTAATAGTTGTTCTCAGACCCTCCATTGACATCCTCACCCAGCATTCCCTACTTTTGGGGGCCTTCTATCTTGTTAAAAAAACAGAAAAACAAAAAATCTTTTTACCGAGTGAAACATCGATTCCACCTTTATTCCCATTCTCACTGGTGTAAATACTGATACTAACTGAGGATTTTGACTTTGCATTCTGTCAGAATACTGTGTTCAAATAAAAGTTACAGAAAAAGCTCGTGCCTACAGTCTGCCTTCTTCAGTGCTCTGCCAGGTCCTTTGTACAGACCCGGATTCCCGGCGCTGTATTTGCACGTGAGCTCAACACGGGGCCCACAGCGCGAGCTGAGCTTCGCTCTGAAGCTCTGGGCTGTGCCCGAGCGGGAAGCGCAGCTGCGTGCACAGAGACGAAGGAAGCGCTCGTGCTGCACGGGTGAAGCTGGTCCTGCTGTGAGCAGTGGCACCGGGCTACCGTAGCGCCTTCCCACGCTTCGGATGCGCACGAAGAACACCCGCCGGCACGTGAATCCAGTGACGGGTTCTCGGGAAGTGCTGGCTGTCATCAAGAGGAGCGTCTTTAAAGTTCGTTTCTCTGTCCCACTGTAGGTAACTTCCTTGCAATCACGAACACAAATGCAGCTTTGTGTCTAACGGGAAGCTGCATTTCCCACAAAAAGCTGCTCCTCTGTTACCTGGCTGTGTGTGTGTGTTGGCTTCAAAAGGCGTCCTTAACCCGTCCTGACCTGGGTGCTTGAACTTGATAAATGCAGGAGGATCTAACTAAACTTAACTCTGTCCTAAGCATTAATCCCCCAGGCCGTGGAAGAAGTAAGAGCTCTAGTACGTGTCCATACCTGGTGTGGCCGAACTGGTTGCAGCAAAAGAAGGAAGGAAGTGTTCCAAGCGACAGGACTTGTCACCCTGGGCCTTTCTGCTTCCCCTCCGGCGCTTTGCCCTGCGCTCCTGCCCTGCGCTCCCGACTGCTCTTCGCCGCGTGCTCTGTGGCAACAGAACCGTCCCAAAAAGGTGCCGTGACTGGCCCCGCGTGTGTTGGGTTCTCCCGCTTTAGACACGGCTGTCCCGG